TATAATTATATATATATATATATATATATATATATATATATATATATATAAAACTCTATATGTATATGTATTAAAACGCATTACATGTATAGTGTAATTATGATAAATACTTTTGTTACGGCTAAATAAATTATAATTTTAAAAATATTACGCACGAATTAATCGACAAAACCTGTCCTGTTCCAATCTCTATAGTATTTTAGTAATAACATTCAGCTTATGTCAGATATGACGACTGAAATTCGTGATTTATCTATATGTATGATATATCTATATATATATATTTGACAAGCGGAAAAAAAAAGAAAATCGAATACGTATGTTGAATCGAAAACGTGTTATCAACTATTTTCACGAATTTCGTAAATAAATAATCTAATTCTACGTTAAAAATAGTTGTTAAAAATTGAAAATTCTGCAAAAAACGTTAAAAAAAGATGGCTAAAGTCGGTCAACAAAAAGAATCTGAAATGGTAATCATATAATATTCTCTAAAAATACGTAATTTTGAATTCATTTTATTTTTTAAATCAAATGAAATGTTTGAATCAGGACGAAGAAGACACGCGATTACAGGAAGAATTATTTCAACTGGCCGATGTATTACTGGTAAATAAGAATTAATCTCCATATAAGATTCATTTTTTTTAACTTAATAATTATTATGGATCATGACCTAACCCAAGCAACCCAATGACGTGTCAATTATAATTTGAGGGAAAGGACGAAGATGCAATGTTGATAGCTCTGAGTCAACTTCGATTACTAATGCAAACCTCGACCACCTCGATGACTTCTGTACCAAAACCGCTCAAATATTTAAAGATATCGTATAATGATATGAAAAATGCTTATGAAAATATTCAAAATGACAAAGTGAGACATCAATTTGCGGAAGTGTTGAGCGTATTATCGATGGCAGGGGCATTGCCAGGATCCAAAGAGTGCCTTCGATATTGCATCCAAGGTGAAGTAACGAAACCTGGCGAATGGGGTCATGAGTACGTAAGACAACTCGAAGGTGAAATCGTAGATGAATGGACAAACTCTCCTGTAAAAGATGAGAATCGTATAAGGTATATTTTAGATCTTAAGAAATGAATTTCTCTCACCGAACAAATTTTTTATTATTTTCTTTTTATTTATTTATGACAGAACAGAGCTTACTCCTTTAGTAAAAGGTATCATAAAATTCGACATGAAGCATAACGCAGAGATACCTGGTTGCGATCTATGTTTGGAGATCGATCAATTGAATTTTTTAAACGAGTCTTTGGATATCACGAATTTTGAAAGAGTCTGTCGATATTTAGAGAGTTGTGCAGCTTATAGGTCAATTTTCTCACGTAATGCAATTATTATTAAAAAATTTATAAAATTTTATCTCATTTATTTTTATATTATTTAATTATCAGCGAGGATACCGAAAGAAGACAAATATTGCAAGTCGTAGTTGATCATTATTTACGATTCAAAGAATATTGCAAAGCAATGTTAGTAGCCCTTCAACTGGGAGATTCAGATCTTGTACACAAGTGTCTCGTCACCTGCCCCGATACTTTAATGCGAAAACAATTGGCATTCATACTCGTTAGACAAAGGGTAATTTGTCACATCTCTCGTATGAATTATTCAAAATTCAATAATTTCATTCATATAATTTATTGATCATTAGGAGACCCCGTTGAAAAAAGATTATCAAGGAGATGACGCAAAGGATATCGAAGCCATTTTGAGTAACAGCCACGTAAACAATCATTTTCATTTACTTGCAAGGGAACTCGACATTTTAGAACCCAAACATCCAGACGATATTTACAAAACCTGGTTAGAAACTAATACCTTGAGACGCGCGGAACACGATTCAGCCAGAGCCAATTTAGCAGCCACGTTCGTTTCCGGTTTCGTTCATGCTGGTTTCGGCCAAGATAAACTGATGGACAACACTTCAGAATGTTGGGTTTATAAAAATAAGGTTTTTATAAAAGAGATTTTTTTTAAAAGAAAAATTTAAACTATTCAAAGCTAAAGTAAATTGTTTGATAGGAACACGGAATGCTCTCTGCAACCGCTTCCTTGGGACTGATACACATGTGGGACGTAGATGGTGGACTGGTACCTATCGACAAGTGATTCGCGTCTTTTATCGTAATGAAATTATAATTTACGAACAAATGTCCAAGAGCTAAGATGTGTTTTTCCTCGCAGATATCTTTATACGAACGATTACAACATCAAAGCAGGTGCTTTACTTGCTATAGGATTGGTTAACTGTGGCATTCGCAATGAATGTGATCCAGCACTGGCACTTCTCAGCGATTATGTGTCTTCTGAAAACGCCACGTTGAGAATTGGGGCCATTTTGGGTTTAGGTTTAGCTTACGCTGGTTCACAAAGATCTGATGTTACGGAGCTTCTAACGGGAGTTCTGGTGGACAATGGAAGTACGTTTATGGATAGCTAGAAAGAAAGAATCTTTCGCGTAATGAACAATTTTTAGATAGCATGGAAGTTATGTCTTTGGGAGCAATTGCGATAGGATTGATAAACGTTGGTTCTGCCGATGCTGAAGCTTCTTCGACCCTTCTACAGAAATTACTAGAGTTTACTCCTCAAAAGTTATCTAGTACCCATTCTAGGTTAAAAAGAAATACATTCATCGAGTTTAAAACGATGGCGAAGAAGAATTGTTTCGAGTTTATTTTTGTATAGATTTCTGTCACTGGCACTGGGAATGGTCTACATGGGTTGTCGCGATGTCATAGAGGCTTCTTCGGCCGCACTCGAAGTCTTACCAGATCCTTACAAGCTTGCTGCGCAGACTATGCTACAGGCAATACTGTCAATTTCATTAAGATATTATATATTTTTAAATATAAATTAAATATAAATATAAATATAAAAATGAAAAATCATAAAGGTTAAAAGATATTCATTGACCTCAGGTATGTGCATACGCTGGGACAGGGGATGTATTGATTGTTCAGGAATTGTTACGAATATGTTCGGAACCGGTGGATGGTGAAAGTATTCCCGCTACGCCGGCTAGCAGTCCTGTGAGCAGTTGTTGCGATCAACGCCATCGAATTATCGAATTTTCTGAGAAAAAAACCAAAGAGAAGTTAGAAGAGAAACAACACGGGGGATCAAAGTGCTCTTTTAATCGCATTTTTATTATTTATATTTATCATGACCTTTTCATAATTTTCCATGTATCCTTCAGAGAAATCGGCTCGTCGCAGGCTATAGCTACTTTGGGTGTCGCTGCTGTTGCACTGGGAGAGGGAAAAGAGAATTCGAGGATATTCGGTCAGGTGATAAGAAAAATTGTTTAATCCCTTGATTTAAAAGTGTCAATATACGATCATTGATGTTTCTATAAGGGATTATTTCTCAGATTGGAAGATACGGATCTATATATGCAAGACGAGCAATGCCATTGGCTCTAGGTTTATCTTCTTTGTCGAATCCAGACTTGGCAGTTCTCGACGTCCTAAATAAATACAGCCACGATAATGACTCTGAGGTAGCCAACAGTGCAATCTTTGCTCTCGGTCTCGTCGGTGCAGGAACAAATAATGCCCGACTTGCCACCATGTTGAGACAATTGGCCTGCTACCACGCAAAAAATCCCTTACATCTGTTCCTCGTTCGAATTTCCCAAGGCTTGGTTCATCTTGGCAAAGTAATAAAAAAAAAAAAAAAAAAATATAATATATATATATATATATATAATTATA